AGAGCAAGTTCCAGAGAAACACTGTCTCAGAAAACCTAGGAAAGCAAAACAAAAACTCAACTGGAACTTACAGCTAGATTTTTGTGTTAGTTTTGCATTGTTTTATGTTCTGGGCTGAACTTTTGTCCTAGCGCCCCCATGGTAGCACTGATTTCCTGTGTGCGTGTGTGCCAGCTTTGTCAACAGTGTCCGTGTGTCACTGTTGCTGCTTAGCTCTAACCTTGAAGATTTTCAGTTTGTTGTAAAATGGCTCTGCAGGTGAGGGCACTTGCCACCAAGGCTGACAGCTTGAGTTCAAGCTCCTTCCCACATGACGGAAGGGAGAATCTGTTTACACAAGCTCCTTCCCACATCATGGAAGGGAGAATCAGTTTACACAAGTTGTCCTCCAGCTTCCGCATGTGCCCTGTGGCACGTCCACACACACCTGCATGCGCATGCACACAGCAGACAAACAAAAGTGACTTGAAAATGGTAGCGGTACTTGATTAGTAAAATGATTTTCAGAGCTGTCAATTGCTTTGTCCACAACAGGCTGCCGGGAGCGTCGTTTGGAAGCATTCCTGTGGAAAGCCGCTCTTCTCCTCCCCTCGGTGCTGCCGGCGGTACGTTTGCATCGGCTGTGTGGACGGGAGCTTGCTCTGCTTCACTCACTCGGGAGAGCAGGTGGGATGAGCTAGTTCCCTGTGCAGCCCCACCCCGACCCCCAGCCCTGGAGACTGAACCCAGGGAGCAGCTGTTCTGTTATTGAGCTATATTCCCAGCCCTTGTTTGATGAGTATCTCCCTCCCTCCCTCCCTTCCTCCCTTTCTCTCTCTCTCTCTGTTTAGGTGTGTAGGTCTGAGGTTATTGTGTCTTCCTCACTCTCTACCTTATATATGTGTACCACAATATATATGTGCATATAATTTTTAAAAGTTCCTTTTGATACAGGGTCTCACTTGCTATCCTGGAACTCACTGTGTAGACCAGGCTGCCCTAGAACTCTCGCCCCCTCTTTTTATATATATAATTTATTCATTTGTATTTTATGTACATTGCTGTTTTGCCTACATGTATGTGTGTGTGAGGGTGTTGGATCCCCTGAAACAGGAGTTACAGACAGTTGAGAACTGCCATGTGGGTGCTGGGAATTGAACCCAGGTCTTCTAGAAGAGCAGGCAGTACTCTTAGCCACGAGCCATCTCTCCAGCCCCTGTCTTGTCCTCTTGAGTGCTGGAATTAAAGGTGTCTGCCACACGGCAATGTACAGATTTTTGTTTAAAGGTCAAAATATTTACACTTTAAACTCTTTTCAGTCCAGTTCCATCTCACTTTGGAAAACTTGAGTTAGACACCCCCTGCCCCCCACCCCTACCACCATCCCATACCCCCTCCAGCTAGATTCGGAACCAAGGCCAAGTTCTACCCCCTGTCCACGATTATTTTTAATAAAATACATTGAAGACCTAATGCGATTTTTTTTTCTTTAAACAGTGTGTCTCTGAACATACCGGTAGTAATTCTCAAGTATGCTCGAAATTAATTGTAGTGCTGTCGTGTATCTTGTCCTGGTTTTTACCTCTAGAGCAGTCTAGTGTGAGAATGCTATTTTCCAGAAGCTGGCATTATTTCTGGCATATGGAGTTACCACGTTGTCTCCATCCCCCCCTCTTCCGTCTGTAGGAAGAACCCTCGCAGACTTAAGGAAGTGTCAGTCGGATGAGTGACTGGTTATGCCCCTCTCCTTTACAGGCTTGGCGCTTCTCTGCTGGAGGACCAGTCTTTTCGTCACCGTGTATCTCAGCAGCAGAACAAGAAATATTTTTTGGTTCCCATGATTGCTTTCTCTACTGCTGTAGCGTGGAAGGTCACCTCCGGTGGAAATTTGAGACTACAGCGAGGGTGTATGCAACACCCTTTGCCTTCAGTAACCAGAGCTGTAGCAGTGAAACACTGCTGGCGGCTGCATCTACTGATGGGAGGCTGTGGATCCTTGAGTCTCAGAGTGGAAAGCTGCGAAGTGTGTACGAACTCCCTGGGGAGGTTTTCTCTTCTCCTGTGGTCTGGGAATCGATGCTTATTATTGGGTGCAGAAACAATTACATTTACTGTCTGGATTTATTGTGTGGGGATAAAAATAATCAAGTGTAGTCCTTGTAAGTATATATGGGTGAGATGGTTGGAAATGTCATTATAAAACTATGTGGCTGGTTTTATATTAAAGATTCTATTTTGGTTAAGGAATTTGTTGTACTTCAATAGAGGGCAGCCTTGTTTATTTCCAATGGAAGCAGCAGGAGATTCTAGGAAGAGAGGATAAAACACCTGCTCTGAGTTTTTTCTTAATAAGTTTAAGATTTATTTATTTTATGTATATAATACTCTATCTGCATGTATACCTGCAGGCCAAAAGAGGTTATCAGATCCCATTATAGATGGTTGTGAACAACCATGTGGTTGCTAGGAATTGAACTCAGGACCTCTAGAAGAACTGCCAATGCTCTTAACCACTGAGCCCACACCAGCTGTATTTTGTAGCACTTTTAATTATGTGTGATGGTGTGCTGAACAGTTTTATGCCAACTTGACACAAGCTAGTCATTTGAGAGGTGGGAACCTCAACTGAAAAAAAAATGCCTCCATTTTTTGCTGTAGGCAAACCTGTAGAGCTTTTTCTTAATGATTGATGGGGAAGGACCCAGCCCATGTGGGTGGAGCCACCCCTATGCTAGTGTATGTGGCTTCTTTAGCAGGCGGATCAAGCAAGCTCTGAGGAACAAGCCAGTAAGTAGCACCCTCCATGGCTTCTGCATTGGCTCCTGCCTCCAGGATCCTGTCTTGTTTGAGTTCCTGTCCTGACTTCCTTCAGTGATGGGCTGTGATGTGGAAGCTGAGTAAACCCTTTCCTTCCCAACTTGCTTTTGATCATGGTGTTCCATCACAGCAATAGGAACCCTAACTAGAATAGATGGTTAACTGTTATGTCTTAGATACATTTGTTTTAATTCGTCAAAAGGATGCTGCTCTTGTTTGAAAATCTCTATCAAAACACTCCACTATGGAAACGTAACCCCACTATGGCACTTAGGGGTGACACCTTTGAAGGATGACAAATATTAAGTGAGGCTGTGTGTGTGTGTGCTGCAGTATGCTCTGCCATGCAATGTCCAGTGTCACCTTGGATAGGACTCTGCAGAAGGTCTCTGTCAGTAAGGGACACGTAACCAGATGTGGCCACTGGTCCTTGAACACCTCAGATTTCAGAACTGAGAATTAAATAAGCCTGCATTTGTTATAGTCAGTCTGTGATATTCAGGCATGGGCAAGTGAACACAGACATCTACTTCTTTCTGTGGATATGAAGTGGTTTGTAAACTGGCTCAGCATTTGAAGTCAAGATCTGTCTTTGTCAGTGTGCCATTGTGGGTGGGCATTATCCCACCGGTGAGTGTCTGAATAGAAGGCAGCAGAGGAAGGCACATTGTCTTCTTGAGCGAGGCTCACCGTATTCCCAAACCAGGCTACCACGGCCCCTGGTATGGGAAGGAGACTCGGCAGCAGCAACCATATCCCTCTGCTGCTCAGGCCACACCATCGGCTACCGGCCCAGCGGCCTCTGGCCTTTATTGAACTATACCACAGGTTCTGCAGGTCTCTAGTGTGCAACAACACACCATGGTGCTTCCCCATGTCCAAAACCTCATGAGCCAGTTCTTGAATCTCTTATGGACATTAGTTGATTGCTTCTCTGGAGCAATCATAATAGTCTTTACATTTCACAGTAAGTAGACAACTTTTTATTTCTCTCTCTCCACCTAGCTAAATGGACCTGATCAGTTGTGGTTTTTAGTTTTTGTTTTGTTTTGCATTTGAAACAGGGTTTCTCTAACAGTCCTGACTGTCCTGGAATTCGCTTTGTAGACCAGGCTGGCCTTGAACTCCCTGAGATCCACCTGCCTCTGCCTTCCAAATTCTGGGATTAAAGTCGTGTACCATCACCACATGGCTCAGTTATGTTTCTTTAGAGAACACTAATATATTAAGGTAGTTTTGTGGGTTTCCAGGAGTTTAAAGATCTCTATGGAAAAGAAAGGATCAGAATATATTTTGTGAGTTATAAACATAATAAATCACTTTATACTAAAATTAAAAAAAGATTTTTATCTTTTGTTTTGCCGGCATGTATGTAAATATACCATGTGTGCATTCCCTCCAGAGACCAGAAGAACATGCGGGAACCTCTGGAGCTAGAGTGGGCCACCATGTAGATGCCAGGAACTGAGCCTGGGTCCTCTGTGAGGCAAGAACTCCTAACCAATGAACCGTCTCTGTAGACTGAGCTAAAGGTTTTTAAAGGTAGGATCTATTTATCAACTTAGGTCCTTATTTTGAAACAGGGGTAGGGGAAGTGGGGTAGGACAGACATGTATGTGCATTGCTGGGACTTGAACTCAGGGCTTTGTTCATGCTAGGCAAGCACCACTGAACTATGTTCCCAGGTCCTTATTTAGTATTTTTAAGCAAGCAAAAGTACTATGTTTTACACACACACACACACACACACACACACACACACACACACACACACACACACACAGAGTTTCAGTTTGATAATACTGTGACTTTAGGCATTCATCTTCCTGCTATGTAGCTCAAGCCAACTGTCTCAAAGTTTTTCACCAAGTTGTCTTTGCACATCAAATGTTCAGAGGGTCCAGGGTGCAGCCCTGTAGTAGCTGGCCCTCATCTGAGGCTGCTGCTGCTGGACTGTGGCCTACAGTGAGGAGACTGCAAGATCATTTTTTTTGAGACTCAGACCACTCACTCCCTGTTTGGAATCAAGATAAACATTTGACCTTGTTCATATATTCATCCACTGGGTATTTGGGGGGGGGAATAAATGAAGTAGCATTCAAAACAACTTGAAATTTTTCTTGTTCATCCAAAGCTCTGTAAATAAGAGATTGCTCATAGATGACCATTGAAATCAGAATTTCAACTTAAAAAAGGACATTCCATCAGTGCCAAAGGTCTTGTCAGTATTTTATTGAAAGGTCTTTTCCCTTAAATAATGGACATTTTTTTTACATTCAAACTGTATACAACCAAAATCTCAAAATAATATTAAAATCACACTAAGGAATTTTATTAAGTATCTACTTAATTTTATTGTTGGTAAAAATATTGCAAGACACTTGTAGCTAATGTTGCTGCTTTAAAATAAGCAAACTAAACATCACAAGAAGAGACGGTGGATACACACTATATATTTGTAGGTAACCAGCTAAAATGAGAATTTAATGGTAATCAACCATGTTTTATAAGAAACAATTGCACTTGAAACATTTTTAAAGTAAACCAAAAACTCTACTTCCATATGTAAGTCTATGAACAGAGGTTAATCACCTATAACCTTGCCAGAAGAAGTGTTTAAATTTAAAAAAAAAAGCTTGTATATTTAATGTAGCAGTCATTTATTAAAAAGAAAAAGTCTTGAACTTTGTTTCCACAGAACATCCCCATAGTTTGTTGCTCAGACAAGTGCAATGCCACTAAAGCGGAATAACACTTCATTGGTATTAAGTGCAGGTTTGGGGTGACTTGTAAATGAAATGCTAAACATGTACTCTTCAGCAAGTATGATAACTGCCCTTTCCTCAGTAGATTCTCCTTTTAAAGGTATCGGTGGGGCATTTCTAACTAAGCTGTTTCTTGTACTGTGTGTGGGCTCATGGTGTTGAGTCAGTATGAACCTATCTATTTCTCTAGTTTGTTTTAAGACAGGGTCTCCACTGTGTAGCCTTGGCTGGCCTGGAACTCATTATGTAGACCAGGCCAGCCTCAAACACGGGTCTACCTGCCTCTGTCTCCCAAATGCTAGGGTAAAAGGCATGCATCACCATGCCCAGCCCTATTCTTCCTTAGCCATCTTATTTCTGTACCTCTTTGCTGCCATGACTGAGAGGATGGAAGAGATAGTCAGTTTGCAAGGATCACTGTGGCACTATAATTCTAGGGCCTTGGGTGGGAAGATTCCCATTCTGTAACTCTAGGGCTTTGAGTGGGATGATTCCCATTCATTAGTGTTATACCCATGAGGAAATCATTGAACTAACAACTGTCTACACATAAGATTTAGAAAATACCAGTGTGGGAAACGTGCAGTGGAATATTAGTTGCTTACAATAGTAGTAACAACAACAAAAAAGGTACATTGATTCTTAACAGTCTGAAGGTCCAGAATATATAATACTAAATCCGACTTGCAGTAGTACAGCTATCCACTTGACCACACATGCCATCTGCTTCATGAAGCAGAGCCACTGTTGCTAGAGAGAAAATGATTCTATATGGTAAACAGCATCCCTGTCGTCCTGCAGGGCTGACAGAATAACAGCGCATTGCATATTGAGTAAGCACAGAGGAAGTCGTGATGGATGCTGTAAAATGTGTTAGTGTGGGAGGAAAGGGATGCAAATACCCTGCACTGGGCAAAGAATGAATCTGCACCTATACAAGGAAACTATGCCAACACCAGGAAATACAAAGTGAGTACCAGCAGGGTGTAGGCATTTGCTGGTATGTCTAGTGTCATGTAAAGCAAATCTAGAGAAATAAACATACACGTGGCTTTGAAACTGCCAAGTCCCTTCTTCGTGTGCACATGTGAATGATACAAGGCCACATAAAACTCTGAGATGCATCTTTTTTTAAAGGTATCAAGGTGAATGCTCTAAATTGTAAATGCTTTGGAACATTCGACTCTGAATTATTCAAGTACAATAAAGGAAAAAAATTCTCTGCAGGAAGTCCTTCGTAGAAATAGGTTACACATCTTGGCTTATTCATTTTCCCTAAAGGCCAAAGGGAAATTCAGAGGCATGAAATGCCAGCAACCTAAACTATCATACATAAATGGCTGGTTTGGGTGATGGTTTCATTTTCTTGTCTCACTTTTGCATCTTTGGGTGGACAGGCCTTCTCTTCCTGGTGTGAAAAGCTAGATTATACCAGAGTTATTATACCCCAAGGTTCTTAAAACATTTGGGTTATACCAGAATTCATCTGAAGAGTTTTTCCTAAGATCTGTATTCTAAGCCCAGTGCTCCCAGGATCTGGGAGTGCAGCCTGGGCTGCTGGACAGCACTCATTACATGGGGATTCTCAGAGACAACTCTGGCACAGCATCACCTTTTATTCACCAGACTAGATATGTTCCTTAGGAGCCAGCGAGGCCAAATGGTCCATGTGTCTTTAAAGAGGGTACTGGTATGACAGGGCACACCATGGATCTAGTGTAGTATGAATGTGAATGGATTTGCTATGTTGTGGTTATAGGGTTGGGAAAACCAGACACAGGCACAGAGTTGGGGGCCAGCTTTTCCTTATTCTCCAGTCACTGCATTCGGGAGAGTGACACCGTGTTTTATGTACATGTGAACCTGTCACTGTTACATAGGCAAACACAGTAGGGTAAATGTTTTGGATAGAAGAGTAGAGAATCAAAAAGGAAGAAAAACTTACAAAGATTGGCAAAAGGGTATGTTCTGCAATGGTGCATGGGTGTGCACATGTGTGTGAAGGCCATGGGTGGGCATAGCAGGCTCTCCTGAGCTCTCGTTTGCAGACTTTGCTTCATGTGGTCCCTCAGACAAAACTGTCTCTTGAGAACTAGGGGGAGCTCAAGGCACCAGGACCCAGGATTGTGCAAATACACTCTTTACAATGAACACCACCAGTTCCGTTTCTAGACATTATTTTAGAGCCTATAAAACATGCTTCTTTTCCCTAGCTTGGTTTCTTTACCTCATATAAAAAATAAATAAATAAAAAGGGCAAGAGAAAAGCCAGCAAATGGCCACAGAAGTGGTAAGAGTCACTGTTTACTTAATGATCTGTGGGCAGTCGCTCCAGGCCTTTGCTTTTCTTTTGGCCAAAGCCAGCCAGGCGGGTTCTGTGGACACCGGGGCAGCATCTGGGGTGGAGAACCTTTTGGGGGCCTCTTTTACCAGCGGTGCCGGGGGTGCCGAGTCTGAGATCTCCACTGCATTGTTTCAAAGGAAAAGGGAAACAAGAACCACATAAAAACAGACTTTTTAATGAATAGAATTATATATACTCACTATACCTGAAATGCTGTTCATACACACATAGACATACACACACACACAGATACACCGACACACAGACACACACACACACATACAAAATTGTTGTTCACAAAATTATGTAAGAACATTTAAAATCTACTCTTGGCACTTTAAGAATTCAGTAGGCTGTTAGCTATGGTCACAACAGATTTTTTTTTTTTTTTTGGTTTTTTTGAGACATGGTTTCTCTGTGTAGCCCTGGCTGTCCTAGAACTCTCTCTGTAGACCAGGCTGGCCTCAAACTTCTAGAGATTTGCCTGACTCTACCTCCCAGTGCTGGGATTAAAGGCGTGTGTCACTGAACTTCTCTGAAATGTTGTACCCATTAGGAAGCATTTCCCACGTGGTCCCCTCTCCAGAACAAGATTTTGACTTATTTAGAGGGTAGAGAGAAGGAAGAGGGGAGGGAGGGAGAAGGGAGTGGAGAGGAAGGGGAGGAGGAGAGGGGGAGGTAACAGAAATGAATGACAGGCAGTGCCGTACTGGTGATGACTCACATTGGCCTGTTAAATGATCAGAAACCAGGGCTAGCAGGTTGGTGTCACATTAGCAGCTTTAAATTAGCCACAGTTGAAGTTTTAGTAAAGGCTACAACCCCCCTTCTAAGGAGATGACTGAAAGGCATTTACTGTCTTCACTGAGAGCTGGGGACTTCCTGCTGTCTGCATCAGCATCAGAGTTTACCACTGGGTCTTGAGAGCCTGTGCTCTGTGATGTTTAAGATGCTAAGTCACTCCAAGGTAGGAACTAAAGATGCTCTCAGGGAAAACAGCAACTCCAGGCAAACAGGGCTGCACCTGCTCTCTCACCTGTCACGGACGTGGGAAGAGTGTTAGCCTTTTTCAGCTGTTCTCTGCGCTGGAGCCTGGACACGGCAGTTTCGGGCTTCTTCTCTTCTGATGGAGTGGCAGACTTGTGCAGGGAACCAGCTCTGCTCCCTCGACTGTTTCCAGGCTGTGGGCTGACACTGGCCTGCGTTGGGAATGACAGGGAAAGGATGTTCTCAGTGCATGACTTCTTGGCACCCCAACAAGTGACTGAGCTGCCCCCGTGAGCAGTGCGTTCAAGACAGGCCTCCAGTGAGGGCTCAGTGTCATGGTCCAAGGATGGAAAGTCACTTCCAGGAAGATTCCCATCAAGATGATCCTAAAGTTAGCTCATAGAACAAGGCCCCTGAAATCCCTGTCCACTGCACAAACTCACTTCCTCATCTCCCACACACACCAGTTGTCCTTCTCTGAGACGGATGTAGTCTAAGATCCTCGAGGGACGCCCAAAACGAGGGACAGCACTAAACCCTGATTGTCTGTTCCATTCTTACCTTAGATTTCAATCACTTGATTTTGTGATTGCTTTTCTTTCCTTTTTAAGTCAAAACCTTTGGCCTCAGGAAGCCCTTTTCAGCCCCTTAGCATATTTTAATCTCCAGTATCATGACAGTCATAACCTGGTGCCATTCTTAGTAAAATAGGATGAACACAGACACTGGAATGATGGGGCAGTCCTGTGTATATGTCAATAAAGCACTGTTGGCCAGTAGGGAACCAAGATAGGTGGGACTCTGGGTAGGAGAAACACAGGGAGTCAAGATGTAACTGCCATAGGGATAAGAAGCCTGGAAACCTCTCCGGTAAGAGAAATATTTAGATTAACAATTATGGGTAAATACTTAAGTCACAGCTAGCCAGTAAGAAACAAGCAAGGCCAACAGCTTCATAATTAATATAGCTTCCTGTGTGTTATTTGGGGTCTACAACGAGGCAGAGCCCAGGCGACTGGTGGGGAAAAACCAAGCAGCAGACAAGGAAAAGGCTTCTCTCTCTGCACTGGAACCCTGTGACATCACTAACAACCAAAATGGCCATCGGGTGATTAACCGCTGGTTGGCATATATGGTATAGATACACTAGGCAAAGAGTATTCGTGCCTCGTGGACTAGAACAAGAGATTTCATCACACAAAATGGCAGTTTAAATCTATGAATTATTCCTGGAAATTTCCACTTACTAAATTTCTAGATCATGACTTCTCGAGCCATTCAAGCCATGGAAAGTGAAACCTCAGGTCTGTGGGCAGGGGCACTACTCTAACCATTGTGTGTGAGCTGCTGCTGTAAATACAGACATGTTAGCTTCTGCCAAATAAGGCTCCCCTAAAAGCACAGTAAAACCAAATTAAATTTTTATGCTAAAAAATGCTTCCCTGATTTAAAGGTGGTTAGTTTATTTACTTCCCCGCCCTTTATAAACAGCGCCTCCCAGTTAGCATCTTATAAAATATATCCCATGACTTAGAGAGCTAAGCTCGGGATAGCAGCACCATGAACAGAGCAGGCAGGCCGGCGGGTGACTCACAGCTTCTTTGGAGAGTTTCTCTGCTTGTTTGGCCTCCCGGGCTTGCTTCCTCTCCTCTCGAGTTGCCTGCTGCTCGCGAAACCCCTTTTGCTTTTGCAGTGCCAACGTTATCCACAGCGGCTGAGCAGTTTCAACTTTCTCTGTTAATTTGGAGCCATCTAAAGAGTGCCTGCTCTGCAACATGGGCTTCTCTGTGGAGGAAAAAAAGATGGTGTTTGCTGTGGTTAGCAGTTGACTTAGCTTCTCATCCCATAAGAATGTGGCACAGTTACTGGTAGGCTTATGACATCTATGCTGATGCCCAAGGGATTCCATTGGGTGGAAAGGTCACATCTTTGACTAGCAGGAAAATGGGCATTTTTCTTAGAAGTGAAACTACTTTACAAGAAAATAAAATCCCCAATGTGATTAAAAAAACAAAACACACACACACACACACACACACAAAAAAAACCATGTTTACAGGAGACTGAGGTAGTACATGGTTCATTGTCTCAGTGAGATTTGTTTTTAGCAATGGGAGCATTCTTCTCAAACACTAGCCTGTACAGAACCCCAGTGTTTGAAGAACAAAACAACAGTGGTGCTGTATACTTGAGGCAGCTGCTGAGGGCAAGGCTTGCAGGAACAGTGAGAACCCCATGACTGAATGATGCCTGTATTTGAAAGTTGATCTATAATAAATATCATGCCAAGGATCATGAATTCAAGGCCAGCCTGGGCTATATAACAAACCCTTGTCTCAACAAACAAAATTTTAAATGCAAAGAGATCCTTGTGTTTAGAATATTTAGAATAGCCGGGCGTTGGTGGCGTACGCCTTTAATCCCAGCACTCGGGAGGCAGAGGCAGGCGGATCTCTGTGAGTTGGAGACCAGCCTGGACTACCAAGCAAGTTCCAGGACAGCCTCCAAAGCCACAGAGAAACCCTGCCTCAAAAAACCAAAAAAAAAAAAAAAAAAAAAAAAAGAATATTTAGAATAGTACTTGGCCTACACTTAACACTTTTAAAAAGAGAACTATAATTTTTACCTATGAGGCAAAAAGTCCCCTTTTCTCTTAAGTAAAGATCACATACTCTCAGATCTCAATAGAAAAGGGCTTCCTATAGCCTTGTTCCTCAGAAATCTAATAGAAGTTTACACTTTGATAGTCCAGAATCTAGAGTGACAAATGTTCATTGGCCAGACTTTCGTACTACTAGAATACAGTAAAGAAGGGGGAAGCCAAATTATGAGAGACGTTCTCTTAGAAGCAAGATGCAAGGGTCCGATTCAGTTATAAACATCTGAGTCCACGCCAAGGGGGGGCCAGTGTCTGAAACATATCATGTCTTTAGGATCCTTCTAGGTACATTGCCATTATGAAGCTGATGGACAGAGTCCTGCCATTTCTATGCTAGGCATCAAAGATTGGCAAAACCACCCATGCCAAAGATCTGACCAACGTTCTCACTATGCTGGGAGAATTCAGACTCCACAGTGTTTGTGTCTTGTCTATTTCCTAAAAACAACAGAAAATAAAAAGACCAATTGTTTTTAAGGGGGAAAAGGGAAGTTTTTATTTCCTGAGAACTGCAGTTTGCAGAGTATAGTCTGGGGTTACAGGTCATGTTTTGAAAGACTGATGTGTACTACCCACTGCACTAATGAGGCACCTTGGACCAGATTCTAAAAGACTAGGTCTAAAGGCTTATTAGGTCTGGCTCACAGGACCATAAACAGGACATTAAAACTGGATTTCTATTTGAGCCTCAGCCAACAATTTTCCCAAAGCGTTTGACAAAACAATCATTGTCACATATTCCAAAGCACAGGACCACCACTACAGACTGGTGGTGAAGCTGCCAAGCGGCCACCACCAGGACATGGAAGAGCTGAGGTGGCGGCTGAAGACCAGTTTCTTTGGGATATCCCACTGTCCTTGTATAGCCTCTGGAAGACAGGCTCCTTTGTTAGACAGTTTCTTTGGGATATCCCACTGTCCTTGTATAGCCTCTGGAAGACAGGCTCCTTTGTTAGACAGTTTCTTTGGGATATCCCACTGTCCTTGTATAGCCTCTGGAAGACAGGCTCCTTTGTTAGACAGTTGTACTAAAAATTGGTTGGCTGTCCTAGAGAATGTGTAAGACAGTTCACGGGTGTGAAGAAATTATGAAAATTTCAATTTGTCGCTTCTAAAGATTTATTTTATTTTGAAGTGTGTGCACACCCACAGAGGCCAGAGGCATTGGATTCCCCTGGAGCTGGAATTATAAATAGCTGATGATGGTTCTACATGTATACAACCAATAAAGTGGAAGTCTATGCTTAATGGTGTTCAAATAAATTTGGTCAGCCCTGGGTATGAGATAGCAACTAAAACAAGTAGTCCTTGCTTTCCTGCTTATTTATTTTATTCTTTTTGTTTGTTTGAGGCAGGGTCTTCATAGCTGGGTGCTTGTAACCAAACTCTAGTCCTTGTAACAGTGGTATGAGATCTTAATCACTGAGCCAGCTCCAGCTGGCCTGGAACTGGCTATGTATAACAAGCTAGTTTCTAACTCTGCCTCTAGTTCCCACATACTGGAATCAAAGGCATATGCCACCATGCCCAGCCTACTTATTTTGGAGTCAGACAATCTAAAATCTGACTGCCAGGGAAGAAACAGGGATTTGAGAGAGAAAATGATTTGTAGTCTGACAATCTAAAAATCTGACTGCCAGGGAAGAAATAGGGGTGGTAATAGTTTTAGAGGGAAAATGACAATAATCAAAGAGATCTCTCTAAGAGGAATGAGCTTTTCTTCATGGGAGAGAGGCGATGATGGAGCAACAGGCTGAAAGGGACTGCAGATATCACAAAAGCTAATGACATAAAAGCTAAAGTCAAAATGAAAAAATGAGCTCACACATCAAATAGCAGTCACTGCAGGAAAGAATTTATGGGTTACTTGTTAGTATTCAGGCATCTGTACTGGCCTGTCCTTGGGGTTCTGACAGGATACTCCCTCAGCTGCAGCCACTAAGAGCACCACCTGTGCACATTCACTATGTTCCCTTTTAAAAGGGCCCTGCCCACCTCCCATTTCTCCTCCTCTTCCCCCCTCTGCCCCCTTTCCTCTCTCCTGCTGCTCCTGTTCCCAAAGGCCAGTCCCCCGTTTCCTATTTTTATGATCCTTTTCCCTAATTAAAAAAAAAAAATCTGCTTGGACCATGTCTCGTGACATCTTTCTCTCGTGCACTGCTTTTCTTAAATTACAACACAACAGAGTGAGTTCCAGAACAGGCTCCAAAGCGATACAGAGAAACCCTGTCTTGAAAAAAATTACAACACTACTCTCAAGGAGTTCGTGCCCATCTAGGAAAACTTGTCTTTTGGGCTGAACCACCATCTTCCAGTAATTCACCAAGCTGGCAAGCAAGGGTAAAGAGAAGCACTCTATATATATTCTCTGGGCTTTTTAGAGTTGTTTCTTTGGCCACATCTATAAGGTGGGTGATACAGTAGACAAGGGGATGGGCACTGTCGAAAAGGAATGCCCCGTGAGTTATCAGAGAAAAACTAGATGAGTTTGCACTATTACTCTGTAAACAAGAAAATTCAGGGTAAGGTCCCCCTATACCCCCCACCAGAAACAGGGTTTCTGGCTGTCTTGGAACTCGATCTATAGACCAGGCTGGCCTCGAAGTCACAGAGATCCACCTGCCTCTGCCTCCCAAGTGCTGGGATTAAAGGCATGCGCCACCACTGCCTGACAGGAGAATTAACCTGCATATCGGGTATATTAAGTAGTCTAAGACTAGAGATGGTTTCCTGAAATGGGTGAGAGAAAACATCGTGAAGAAGAAAGGTGGTAACGAGAAAGGCACTGTATCCACCTGGAGTGCCAGCCTACCTCAGCCAGGGAAACCCACTTTGTCAGAACTAAAGTACATGACCTCGAGGCTGCTGGAGCCCAGCCTTGCGAATGCATGGCTGAACAGATGACAACAGTAACACCAAACCTCTAAAGTTGCTTGTCCAGCACTGCCCCTGAGGCAGACTGACACACTTACTCCTAAAAGAGAAACACCTGGTAACTTACCACAGTTGGGCTGGCTAGCCTTATGTCAATTTCGCGCACACACGAGCTAGCGTTACTGAGAGGAGGAAATGCCTCCGTAAGATCCAGTTGTAGGACATTTTCTTAACTAGTGGTTGATGGGGGAGGGCCCAGGCTATTGTGGGCGGCACCATCCCTGGGCAGGTGGTCCTGGGTTGTATGAGAAAGCACCCCTCCGTGGCCTGTGCATCAGTGTCTGCCTTCAGGACCCTGCCCAGTTTGAGTTCCTGTCCTGACTTCCTCTGATACTGAAGAGCAATGCCGAAGTGTGAGCCTAATAAACACTTTCCCCACCAACTTGCTTTTTGGTCGTGGTGTTTCTTCACAGCAATAGAAATCCTAAGACAACAGTAGACTGGGAACATGTGGGCACACAGGCATATTAAAATGATTGTAGAAAGACTAAGACACCACATGGAGGAAGGCTGCAGCTCACTCCCCGGTACCCCATAAAGACACCAAACCCTTTCCATGGCTCCATGGTCCTTCACCTCCAGCTGTTCCTGCAGCTGGACTCAACCCTAAGGCCCCAGGCCTGGTTTAACACCAAAACCCTGCTTCCCTGGCAACATGGCTCTGTGCCTCCAGTGGTGGTCCTCCCTCCCTCCCTCCCTCCCTCCTTCCCCTAAAGACGACATTATTATTTTATGTTACGGGTGTTTTGCCTGCACATATACAAGTGCACTGCATGTGTGCCTGGTGCCTGTGAAGGCCAGAAGAGGGCACTGGATCCCCTAGAACTGGAGTTACGGTGAGGGGTAAAGTGCCATTCTGGGACCCAAACCATGGTCCTCTGTAAGAGCAACAATGCTCTTATCCTCTGAGTCATCCTCCAGTCCCTCCTACTGGCTTTATTATTGTTCCCCTCTCTGATTACTCAGTGATGCTGTAGCTTTATCAGCTCCTGCCTCCAATAAGGCCTCTTTGGATTTCTTGAACCTTGCTGAGGCTTAACACTGCAGGCACTCCATAACACCAGTTCATGTGCATGTGTGTGTTTACTGTATGAGGTGTGGTGTGGGATATGAGATTTAATATTAGTAACTGGACTAAGAGAACTTGGTCTGCCAATGGCCAAGGAAAATAGAGAGTACTTGGCAAACAACTAACAATAAAACTGTTATATTTTGTGAATTTACTGTTATTTGATCAATTCTGACATTGCAGAAAGACATAACCATGTCCATCTATGGCATGTCACACTCTCAGCAGTACTCTAGGGGTACTTAGCATAAAAGAAGACAAGTAACCAGGCCAACACTTCTCAAGGAAGCAAAACCCGTCCCAAATCCCCCCCCAGGCAGGGTTTCTCTGTGGCTTTGGAGGCTGTCCTGGAACTAGCTCTTGTAGACTACGCTGGTCTCGAACTCACAGAGACCCACCTGCCTTGGCCTCCTGAGTGCTGGGATTAAAGGTGTGCGCCACCAACGCCTGGCTCACACCAAATCTTAACACTTAAAAAAAAAAGAGAACCTTTCTGGCCATGATCCAAACTGTCTCTAGAAAGATTAGGTGAACATTACAAGGAAGAGCCAAGGGTTGCTCTGACCAACCTCCCTCCCTCCCCTTCCCTCCCTCTCCTTCCCTCCCTCTCCTTCCCTCCCTCTCCCTCCCTCCCTCCCTCCCTCCCTCCCTCTTTTCTCAAGACAGGATTTCTCTGTGTAGCCCTGGCTGTCCTGGAACTTGGGCTGTAGACCAGGTTGGCCTAGAATTCAGAGATCCGCCTACCTCTGCCTCCGGAGTGTTACCACTATGGGAAGTCCGGAGAACTGGAAGGATGTTAAGCGCATTGAACCTAACACGGCCAGCGAAGAAGCTCCACAGTTCCAGGGCTGATTGATGCCAGGACCTGCCTTCCCCTGTCCTGCAGCTGCCACCCAGAGGGACGGCAGCGTCTGGTTTAGAAAACTCTACTTTTGATCACCTCAACAGACTTGCTCAAAATGGTTAAGGATGTCTGTGTTAACTACATTTCAATCCAAGGGATGTTAAAATGTAGAAGAACGGATTTAGGGCAAACTTGTTTCCAATTAAGGTGTTCCCAGAGTCAGTTCCCTGGGCTCCCTTCTCAATTCCCCCTCCAGCGAATGAAGCCACACACCTTTTCTACCTGTTTCCGAAGTTAGCGAAGGTCTCTCTTGCTGGCTGGCTGACAGAGGTGGGGAAGCGAGTTTCTTTTCTGGCACCGCTTCCTCATCCCTCTTCGGCCCCTTCGGCTCCTCTGGCAGGGATGGTGAGGGTGGCTGGTTATCACTGCTCTCCTTGCTTGGCTCGGAATCCACCTTCCCAACCCGCCTAGCAAGCAGCTCTACCAAGTGGGGTCTGCTCAGTTTGGAGAGTGGGGATGATGGTGGAGTCTGGCTGGTGGGCTTGGGAGCGAGGGCCGGCTTCTGCATTGGTGGTGTTTTGCTTGCTGCCTTGTTCTGCTCTGGGACTGGGGCCTGGCTGTCGGCTGGTGGTAGCCCCGACTGGGCTGCAGTAATAGAGTGACCGCTAGCAGAGCTTTCGGCAGAGTCCCTCCGAGGGGCTAGGGCTGGCTTCTTCTCCTGGGGAAGGGATGCGCCATGCTTGAGGGCCACCGCTTCGGGCTCTCTCTCTCCAGGGTCGCCTCCGGCTGCGGGGGTGCCACCATCCACAGCGTCTCCCACGCTGCTGTGTCTCTTCTTCTTCTTCTGTTCGGCCTGCTGGTCACAGTGGAAGCGCAAGGAGTAGTTGGTCCTTCTCAGTTTTATACCGAAGGGCGAGGCCTTTTCCTCACCTCCTGGCACCACAGGGTCTATGTCACTCGTGGTCTCGCTGTCCGAAGTGGTCGTGGACCCTGTGCGGGAAGCAGCTTTCTGCGGAGAAGGCAGGCCCGGGACGAGGAAAGATGGAAGGTCTTTGGCAAATTTGCATCCGTCAGTGGTGTCTGGTGGCTCCTGGCTCACCTCTTGCTTCTCCAGGCTCTTCCGAGGCTCCGGGGTCGCAGCAGGCGGAGGCTGGGGTGCTGTCTCTTCGCCCACTGCCGAGCCCAGCCTTTTCCTCACGCCTTCACCATCCAGGCTCTGTCTGAAGATCTCCGCACCGCCGTCTGCGAATTTCTGCCAGGCGGGCATGATGGAGAACTTGGCGTTGGCTGGCGGCGTCCTGCGCACGTTCCCTCGGGAATCGCACCGCGCTCGGGGCGCGGGCTCGTCCCCGGCTCTGGCCGGCTCCCTGTCACCACGCTGGTCACCCTCCGCGTTCTTCAGGATCCTGGATCGGATGGAGGCCCACTCGGCTAGCGCGGCGGCATTGCTCGGCGACTCCGGGGGAGGCCTGGCCTTGCTGCCGCCGGACCTGCCCTCCGCCGCGGGGACGTCCACCGGCGGCCGCTTTTCCTCTGACAGGCCCAGGAGGGACTTGCACGCCGAGTCCTTGATCTGGCTCAGGTTGACCGCCGGGCCGCACAGCTGCGCTCCGGTGACCAGAATGGCTGTGTGCGGGATGCTCAGCGCCGAGGGCAGGCCGTGTGCGGCGGCGCCGCGGGGCGCCGGCGGGTCCTGGGCCAGCGGGGCCGGGCTCGCGTCCTTGGCGGGAGTCACCGGACTCAGGTTGACTTTGGGGAAGAGAATCTGCCTACCCCCGGAGGACACCTGGAACGTGTAGGGCCGGGGCATGGTCTGCCGTTCGTCTACCTCCTGCCACCGGAGCTCCTCCACCTTCCGGTCGTTATCCGCAGCGACAGCTTCGTTCTTGTCCTCTGAGGCCGGCGGCGCGCCCATCTGCTCCTCCTGCGGCAGGGGGATGTCTACCTGGGTGGCTTCCCTCTCTTCCGCGTCTACACCACCGCACTCCATGCTCGAGTCTCCCCTCTGCCCTGCCGGCTCGCTGGCCGCCTTGGCGGCTTCCTCCTGCTCCTGGGCCATCTCTCCCTGTCCCGCGGAGTCCAGGTTTCCTTGTTCCTCTGGCTTCTCGAGGTCCTGCTGCAGGGGGCTTTGCTGATGCGCGTCGTCGGCTAGCGGAGCCTGGCCCTCTCCTTCTGGACCCTGGGGGCCTTCGTCCACCTGCGGTGCCAGCGTTGCCCGCCCGTTCAGTTCTTCCGTGTGCTCGGCCGCCTCCTCCTCCTCCTCCTGAGCATGCTGCCTCTCGGCCTCGAGCTGCCTCAGTTTCTCCTCCTGCTTCTGGGCCTCCAGCTTCCTCAGCTCCTCTTCCTGCCTCTCGGCCTCGAGCTGCCTCAGTTTCTCCTCCTGCTTCTGGGCCTCCAGCTTCCTCAGCTCCTCTTCCTGCCTCTCGGCCTCGAGCTGCCTCAGTTTCTCCTCCTGCCTCTGGGCCTCCAGCTTCCTCAGCTCCTCTTCCTGCCTCTCGGCCTCGAGCTGCCTCAGTTTCTCCTCCTGCTTCTGGGCCTCCAGCTTCCTCAGTTCCTCTTCCTGCCTTTCGGCCTCGAGTTGCCTCAGTTTCTCCTCCTGCTTCTGGGCCTCCAGCTTCCGCAGTTCCTCTTCCTGCCTCTGAGCCTCTTCCTGCCTCAGTTTCTCCGACTGCCTCAGCTCCTCTTCCTGCCTCAGTTTCTCCTGCTGCCTCTCGGCCTCTTCCTGCCTCAGTTTCTCCGCCTGCCTCTCGGCCTCTTCCTGCCTCAGTTTCTCCTGCTGCCTCTCGGCCTCTTCCTGCCCATGCTGGCGCCCTTCCGCCTCGGGGTGGTCGGCTTTCCCCAGCACTTGCTCTGCACATCCCTGCTCCTCCAGACCTGACGCTTGCCCTGGAGGTGCCTTGGCCGCCTCTAGCTGCAGGTCCTCCTCCTCGCCTTCCTCCTCCTCCAGCAGCTCCTGGCGGAGGTTCTCCTCCCAGAGCCTCCTCTCCAGCGCCTGCCGCCTCTGCTCTTCCAGGCGCCTCTTCTCCGCAGCTTCGGCTTTTTGCCGCTTGCACTTGGCTTCAAGTTCCCGCCAATACTCTTCCTGGAGTCTTTTGTCTTCACGGGACTCTAGAGGCTCTGGTTCCTCTTCATGCCAAATGTGCCTGTCTTCTCCTGGCTGGCCGTTCTGGTCCACGGAGGACTGGCTCTCGAAGCTGCCTGGCACATTCTGGCGATCCTGGCGCGGGAAAGGGAAGCAGAATTAACTTTTTCCCCCAAGCAGGCCCAACGCTTCCCAACCAGCGCAGATGGTCCTCTTTAATCACAGGTGTCCCAAGTACAGACACAGCGGTCCCTGCAGCTGCCCATGATGGTTAGGCCTCCTTGTCAACCTGACTGGACTTGGAGTTACCATGGAAACATACCTTTGGGTGTTTCCAGAATTGCCTAACTGAGGCAGGAAGGCCCAACCTGAATGTGTGTGCGCGTGTGTGGGGGGGGGGTAGGGGGCACCATTTCAATGGCGATGTCTTTGTAGGCCTAAGATGGAGACAGAGGAGACAGCCGGCTCAGCGCTATGGTTTATCTCTGCTTCCTGTGTGTGAAAAGTGACTGGGGCTGCCATAGTTTCGGGGGCATGAGCGACTATACTCAGACTGTCAGGCAAAATTAAACCGCAGGCCATGGAGGGTATGCAGACCTATTGATCCCTGTACAATGCTGGACACTCAACTTCCTGATAGGGAGAGACCTACAGTTTACTATGGCTGTACCCCAGACAGCCCACAAGGTAGAATTAGTGCCCGGCAAGGAAGGGCACCTGCCTCCCCAGCTCGGGCAGACTCCACTCACCTGGGCAAGCCACCTGTGCTTCCTTGACACCCTCTGGTTTTTTGGCTTAACAGAGAGTTTGTGCTTGGCAGCACTGTTGTCCAGACGAGCAATGGCCAGGGGGATGGCGTCGAGGTTGACACTTTCAATGGTGCCAGTAGAAGGGAGGTGCCTTTTTGGCCGCGAGGGTTTAACTGGAGCAACCTAGAGCATGGATTAAGATAGAAAGGTCGGCTTGGATCAGAACACAGCATCCAGAGTCCCACCAGGGCAGTACTCACTGCTTCTGTCTGCGCAGCTTAGCCCACGGAATGTTGTTTGAATGAGAATCGAAGTCAGCGCACAATACACAATTCTCAAAAGCACAGCCAGCTCCCACCTAGCTTCTGAGGTGGGGTGAGGGAGGAGAGAGCCAGGGGAAACAGGAGAGGGGAACCATCTGCAGAGACCTGTGTGTGTGTGGGGGGGGCGTTACTGTTAGCCTCTCTGTCCTGAACTGCTTGATATCCTGCAAGTGTCCTCCATGTCCACTGCTGGTCCATTCTGCACCTGATCTGGGCTTCAAGCCATCAGTCAGCAGTACATAAACCTCTCCTTCTCTAGCTTCTTCATGCAGATGCCTGTTGTCTCCTCCGAGCCTTGCCCCTTAGGATTTGACAGCCAGGGTGGTTCAAATGAGTATGTCCCCCATAGTCTCAGAGGTTTGCATACTTGGTCCTGAGATGGTGGTGGTGTTTGGTTAGGGTTGGGAGGCATGGTCTTGCAGGGGGAAGTGTGTTTCAAAGCCTCAGGGCCATTCCCAGCATGCTCTGTTTCTGTGCCCGAGCTTCAAGATGTGAGCTTCCTGACCTAGACACTACTCCATCCTCACGGGATCCAGAATTGCCAGCTCATAGAAACTTGTGCTTCTTTAAGTTGGTTTGGTCGCGGTGTTGTATCACACAGTAAAATAATATAAGCTCATAAATGGGCATCTCTGCCACTTCTCCCTTGATCAGAGTCACCAGGACAAGAAAGCAATGCATACAGGGACCAGGTACAGGAGGGCCAGCTGGGCACGCCTGCAGACGTCAATGCTGCTTCAGCGGGGAATGTTGCCAAGGATGCTGTGGAGACTCAGGCCCACCAGGCCCTTGACAGTCTCTGGGCAGAGAGGTCTGGTAGGGCCCCTCCCTAAGGTGGAACTGTTCCTTCCACCTGCCAGCCCCTGGATGGAGGAGGGCATGGCTGTGGCCCATCAGCTTAGGGGTCCAGCTTTGGGCGCCCACACAGGCAGGTATACTGTGAAGGGAAGAGTTTTCTGGAAATACCCCTAACCACAGGATTTTCTAGAGAACCTGGCTGAGAAAGTGCAGGTTCAGTGGTGGGTGGTCCTTGGTGTTTTGGAAACATAGGCTTTCCCACCTGTATCTGGGTGACCCTAGTGGTCAAGAGTTTGTCTCTTCATTTGTAAAAGTGTCAACACACCCCTCTCATAGGGCTGTGGGGAGTGAGAGAAGCAGCTCTGACAAGTCCCTCAGCAGGAACCTGGAACACAGTGGGTACCCAGTTAACACCAGCACATACCATGTAAGGTCCTAGTTCATTCTGGAATGAAGGGGATTGCTGGAAGGTAAGAGATGGGGTATTGGAGGAAAGGCAAGAAGGAGCCTCTAAGGTTCCTCTAGTGGAGAACCCATGGTAGACAACCATTCTCAGCACTTCCAGGCTTCATAATAAGCAAGCCCAGGGAGGTGGTGAGGGTTGTTTTGGGACACAGAATGCAGCAGCTTCCTTTAGATGCTGGAGGGCAGTGGACTGCTACTTGTGCCTCAATTTCTGTTTGCTCTTGTAGTTATAACATCCTGACCCCTATAAAGGTACCCGTTGAACTGATCCACTGTAACCGTTGAGCTATTGCCTGCACGATGTCACATGCAGATGTAAATACACACACAGTACATCTATGCTTGGCCCAAGTACATCTCTTCCAACACTCACTTATGTCTTCCTGTAACAGAGGAGCCCATCTTTTAAAGAATGAACGTATCAGCCGGACGTTGATGGCACTCGCCTTTAATTCCAGCACTCGGGAGGCAAAGGCAGGTGGATCTCTGTGAGTTTGAGGCCAGCCTGGTCTACACAGCAAGTTCCTGGACAACCTCCAAAGCAATACAGAGCAACCCTGTCTCGGGGGAAAAAAAAAAGCATGGACGTATCCATGCTGATTCCCTGTCTTCTGCTGCCTTCTGCAGGACTCATACACAGAACATGCTCTTTTCCATCCAATATGACTGCCATGATGGGACCTACGGTGGTAGGCTCCACTCCAGGGGACACTAGACCTAGACACACCATACTTGCACCTCCAAACACAAATCTGATAGGTGGTTCCTTTATCAACTTACTGGTGTGGTTGGATAAAAGGGTAATTGCGAAGTAATCTTAATTTTGAACAAAAGGTCCCTTTCTCTGTCTAAAAAAATAGATGTTATCCATTTACTGTAAGGATTTCCTCAGGTTCATGGCATTGGGCTATTCTGGCAGAATCTTTCTTAGGTATTATATTAGGACATGCAATTTATAAATAGTAAAAAAAAATGTTTTGGGATGGGCACAGTGGCACTTGTCTGTATTCCTGGGAGACAGAGGCTGTGAGACTATGAGTTTGGGATCATCTTGAACTATAGAGAGCTCAAGGTCATCCCAGAGTACGAGGTGAGATCCTGTCTCCCATATGTGGATCATAGCTTGGAATGTTTCCATTTGTGTGCTGAACCTGGATATGTGCAGAGGTCAGAGGCCTTGATAGTAGAGTAGTAGATAGAGGATAGTAGAACATTCGATATTAAGGCTGAGGGAAGCATACTGGGTCAAAGGGTTAAGAGGTTTACCTAGGATGGAGGCAGGGCCTGGCGGAGAGGAAGGAGTGAGGGAGTGGGTTCACCCAAAAGAAGGTTATATGAAAATTAAAACTATTTTGTACGATAATTAAAAATTGAGATTTAAAAGAAAAGAAGTGTGGGTGTGCTGCTCCCAGAAAACATTGGTTATTAAACAACAACAACAATAAAAATCTCAGTGCTGCTGGGTGGTGGTAGTGCATGTCATCTTTAATTCCAGCACTCGGGAGGCAGAGGCAGGCGGATCTCTCTGAGTTCGAGACCAGCCTGGTCTAAAAGAGCTAGTTCCAGGACAGCCTCCAAAGTCATAGAGAAACCCTGTCTCGAAAAACAAAAACAAGAAAATCTCAGTGCTAGGCATAGGATATCGCCTTATAAATTATGGGCCATGGAGGCTCTGGAGGCCCCTAAATCAACACAGGCTGTTTATTTCAGTGCTCTTGGTTGCGCCATAACTGTATGATGAGTCCTTATTGCTGAAGGCAGGTGGCAAAAAGTGAGTCGGGAACTTTCTGGGAAACCTCCTTCCTGCCAGTTAGCTTTCATAATTATAGAAGGAGCTGCTCAGGCCACTGGGGAGACATGGTCTGGATTTTACAAAGACATGCCCACTGAAATGGTAGCACGGATGTTATGAGAGTAACCAAATGCTTTCTGCCTGGATTTGAGGTCATCTCCTCAGGAAAGAATTCATGACTGGGACTGTAAGCCTGGTCAAAAGCCCATGGCTGGGGAGGCCCTGGGTCATAGGGGGAGCTTACTATAATTGTTTTGCTGAATGGTTGTCTTGCCAGATTTCCTATAACATTTATGTTTATACCCACAGATTAGTGCCACTATCAACCTTGGTCAGAGGCAAGTTCTTTCTGTAGTGGGCAGTGGTTCCTGCAGAGACTCATAACTGGGAATAATCTCCAACTCATAGCTGGGAATAAGTGGCAGTAGCCCCCTCAGTCCTAGACAGATGTGTGTATCTGTCTTCCCCCTTCACAAGGATCAAGAGACACTGTAAAAGAGTGGATAGAAGGATGGACCGCAAGAGCTGGAGGGGAAGGAGGAGGCTTGAGAAATGTCTTCTTGACATAATATCCATGTTTCACTCATGAACTAGATCAAGCCAGTCAATATCGCTGGAGATGGGGTTAAAGCTCCCGAGGCCCCACCCCTAGCTGAGGAGTTATTTGTAGTAGGTGGGAAAAGAGAGTCAATTTCTTTGGGGGGTGTGGTCCCTGGAAGACTGTCCAAGAACCAGTGGATGGCATCGCACCCATGAACACGTGGGCAGCTCTAATGAGACTCAGTGAGTTGTTTTTAACCGAGGGCATAGAATAGGGAGGGGCTGTAATGGGAGAGGCCTGGGAGAAGAGAAGGGGAAGAAGAGGGGATGGATATGATCAAGATGTGCATGCAATTGTCAAAGAATAGAGATAAAGTGTTGTTAAAAATTATAAACGTTTGGGGCTGGAGAGATGCCTCAGAGGTTAAGAGCACTGACTGCTCTTCCAGAGGTCCTGAGTTCAATTCCCAGCAACCACATGGTGGCTCACAACCATCTACAATTCAACCTGGTGCCCTCTTCTGGCATGTAGACAGAACACTGTATATGTAATAAATAAATAAATCTTTAAAAAAAATTATAAACGTTTGCCGGGCGGTGGTGGCGCACGCCTTTAATCCCAGCACTCGGGAGGCAGAGACAGGCGGATCTCTGTGAGTTCGAGGCTGGGCTGGACCAACAGCCTCGAAAACAATACAGAGAAACCCTGTCTCATAAAAACCAAAAAAAATCATAAACGTTTTTGACTCGATCACTCAAAATCATCGAATGCCTAGTACATCTAAAAGCTAGCAAAGTGCTCTGATAAAAAAAAAATAACCAAATGGCATAAGTGTGGTTCCCCAAAGGGAACTGGCATAGGCTGCGGCTCTGGGATAGAGACACATTTGCTGAAAGACCACTTCCCACCCTGGTATGGGGCACACACTTGTAATCTTAGTACTTGGGAGTTGGACACAGGAGAAACAGGAAGATCATCCTTGGCCACATATTGCATTCGAGGCTTCACAAGACTTGTCTCAAAAAATAATTTAAGAGGCTGGGGAGATGACTCAGCAGTGAAGAACAAGTGTTGCTCTTACACATGACCTGGGTTCACTTCCCAGCACCCACATGGTGGCTCAAAACTCCCATCACCCACCTAGTGGCTCAAAACTATCTACAATCCAGGTCCAGGGGATCCAATACCCTCTTCTGACCCCCATGGGCACCAGGCATGTATGTGATGCAAATACATACACGCAGGCAAAACACTCATAAACAAAGAAAATAAATAATACATCTTTTTTTAAAGACCTAAACCTTACACAAACTGCACATGTTTAAAGAAGTTAGTGGTCACAGCACAGCCTCCGTCAGAATTATTGGTAGGAAGCCATTATCCGTAAGAAAGTGTGTCCATGCCAATGTGCAGCAGGGGGCGCTCACAACCCTCTCAGAGTCACAAGTCGCTCTGCACACTGGACAGGGCCGGGCTTTCGGACTGTTTGCGCTGTATGTGTAAAAAGTCTGTAGGGCTTACATGCAAAGGGCTCCCTCCATATTTATCCACAAAAGATAAACGAACAAGCAAGTGCACGATTATAATCAACAAAAACTACTTAGTACACATGAATTTGTGAATTAAGAGGTAGAGAATAGATATTTCCAGCCTTTGGCTTTGTAGCTTTTAATTGCTTGTGGTCATTCTTAATTCTGAGAATTAAGCATTTATTTCCACTCCCTAAGAGACAGCTGGGGGAATAACAGAGCCCATGTGACAGACTGAAGATGGGGAGGGGCACTTAACGCTCAGACTCCAGCGCCAGAGCTGGAGTTGGTAGCTATCCCCAGGGAGCCTCGTTTCTGTCTGGGTAGTGGTACTGTCCAGAGCCACCCCTCACGGGTGCAGAGCTGGTCACTGTCACACCCTTCAGTTTCTTCAGAGAAGGTCTGCCCCGTGTAGAGGTGAGAATTCTCATCAGAGAAACTCAGCCCCTACAGAACACGTGCTCGGGGCAGAGGGTCTAAGCTCTTCGTTGAAGGTAAACATCCCAGAGCCACAGGGGCGGAAAATGATTTGTAAGTAAGGGCAAGCATGAAGCCCTGAGTTCAGCTCCCACCCCACCATGTAAGAGGCAGAGCATGGCCCTTTATGTATCTGTTACCCCAGCACTGTGGAGGCCAGGGACAGAAGGGCCACCTGTTTTAGTGAGAGGACCCTACTGTCTCCAGAGAACATGGACAGTGATGGAGTGGGCCTCCTGACTCCCTCCTTTGGTCTTTCTGTGCATATGCATAGGTGTAACCCACCTTCCCCCACACCCTAATACACATTTATTGTGTATAACAAAAGGGGCATTAAAAATGCGCGCGCGCGCGTGTGTGTGTGTGTGTGTGTGTGTGTGTGTGTGTGTGTGTGTGTAAGTAGAGAAAGGTAAGGTTGAGCTTGGGTTTGTTTCTGACATTTGTACATAACAGAGAAGTCTTCCTTACAGTCTTGAGTGCCTGCATTTTAGAATGCCTCTTCTCAACGGATAACAATGCCTTGAAGTACATGATCCATTGTATTTAGGGAAGCTATCACTCTCTAAAACTCCCAAGACATCATGGGAGCATGGCTATTCTTCAGAGCAGGGCTCGAATCTAGCAGTTGTGTTGCCATGGAAATGGATGCTTTAACCTCTACCCCTCATTGCTCTGGTTTATGAACAGGAAATGAAACAGCAGTTTTAAAAAAATTAAAGAGGCTAAATGAAAAGTTCAAATCCCATTACCTTCTCTTCCATCTCACTTCCGGCTTCAGGTAGATTCAGAGGGCTGGAGGAACTTGGCGTATCACTGGGCTGGAACAGAAGGGAGAGAACTTGGGTTAAATGTGGGGCAGGAGGTGCTGAGCAAATATCAGGGCTGTCTATGCCTGATCAGGGTGGCCCCTTGCTCCACAGGGGGACATCTGCTCTCCTGTAACCGCCAATCATCACTGTGGTAACTCTGCCCACTGGGACTGCAGAGCCACCGAGGGGCACGGTCCTCCTTGTCCTGAGTTCAGCGCATTTCCTAGTTCTCAGCCTCCGGTCCTTGTGCTTCCTTCCAAGGCCTGGGTGAGGTTGAAAAGCTGCTTGGCGGCCACCTCGCCTGGGAAATGGGGCTCTCAGACTTGCTGGCAGCCTTTTACCTCCCCGCCCCCTCCCCAGACTCCTAAGCAGAGAGCGAAGACAAAAGGTCCTTCCGGAGCCACATGCAGAGGGCTGGCCCTGGAAACACCCCCAGGGGGTCACATACAGCTTTAGGATGGGTGGCTATACCTCTACCTCGTGTTGTCTAGCCTACTCTATGCTGCCCACTTGAAAAAATGTTTAGAAACAGAAGTCAGGGCTTTGCGAGATGACTCAGTGGGTGGGCGTAGACCTGATGATCTGACTTCAATTCCCAGAACTCCTGTAGGGGCAGGAGAGAACTCATTCTTAAAAACTGTCTTCTGAATTACACACGCATACCATGGTGTGCACCTGCACACGCACGCACACAAATAAACGTAAAAGAACACAAGTCAGCTCCAGACCCTTCCTTACTCACTATTAACTCAGAACTCAAAACTGGATTTTCCCTTTTCACGGTTTCCAGCATCTGGCCTCGGCATCTGCCTCCCCCAGTGCCCATCCAGTCACACCTGACCAGCTTCCTCCTGGGCTTCTTTAAAAGATCAGCTTGCTCTCTTTGGTCTTTGTTCTGGCTCATTCCCGTGCCTAGAACATTCTTCCGTCTTGTCACTCCTTGGTCTGTTCCCAAGCCCACATCTGAGAAGGCAACCTCTCTCCCACAGAGTTAGATACTGTCTTCTCGGCAGGCAGCATTTACCTGCAGGTGACTTGTGTGCTTGGCAACAGGCTTTCGTTAGGATATAAACCACCAGAGGCCCTCCCCGTGACAAATCTTGCTCATCTCGGCAACCCCCACAGCTCAGACAAGGTCTGCTGAACGAAGAGCCTCCCTCGTCCCTGAGGCCACGGCACTGCTGCTTCAAAATCATAAGTGATATCAAGGACATCCTGCAGTCCTCACGAATTCCCCGTGTTAAAGCGAGGCTGCAGCTGTGGAGGTGTGGGACAGCAGTTTGAAATGCAAGAGGAAGCAAGGACGGTGTCCTGCTTCATCCACCATTCATGTGTCAACATGTGGGCGCCAGGAGTCCTCACGGCCAGGCCCCAGCAGAGGTGGCCGTGGATGGACTGGCCCTCTTCATTGCTGACAGCTTGTCTTGATTCCCACTCTTCTGACATGTTAGCCGATGACAGCTGTGCCCATTTTAATGGCAAACCCCCAGATTCTGGAATTCTGACAGGCAAAGTGTGGGAAAAGCTTGAAGAAAGATTCAGCACCCACTTGTCACTAGGGAACCCCAGACCCTGGCTATTTAGAGGGCTTCTTTCTCCTGTACAAAGGCTTCTTTCTCCCCTGCTGCTGGAAGACCTGGGAATTCAGGATCTATTCAAGTGTTTCCTGGAAAGCGTCAACACACCAAATTTAGACAGGCAGGTGCTGGAATGTGACTTTCCAGCTGAGGGGACTTCAAGCTGGCCCATGTGAGACACTCTCACTGCTTTCTCTTCCATCTCTCTTAAATGAGCCCAATTTGACAGTGCTACTAAGCTGGCAGTCTCCAAGTCCCGAGGAGATGAGAGATGTGTAAGATGTCGTCTTAGCTATAAGAAAGCCAATATTTAGAGATGGAGAGGAAACAATTTCACACAAAGGTACGGATGAGGATATGAAATTGAAAGTATGGAGGAGACAATGCAGCCCTGGGGATGAGACCAGGAAAGATCTCCCAGAGTCACCCAGCCCAGCCTTGAAGGATAGCAGAAGGTACCGGCAAGGACATCGGCAGGGGGCCTGTGTCTTCCTCCTTCCCATCTCCCTCACTGGTCCTCAGTACCCTCAGGCCACAGCTTAAACCCAAGGAAAGCTCCTCCTCATCTTACTCCTACCCCTACTCCCCCACTGTAGGGTCATCAGATGCCACTGTCCCCTGGCCAGCCTTCTCTCTGGCTTATCAGAATCCAGTTGCCCCCTGGAGGAGACTTACTTTGTTCTCTGTGTCTGAGAGGACAATGTCCTGCTGAGTCACAATTTCCATGGGACTGGTCAGGAAGAAGTCCTCATCTGAGCTAGCGTCTGCACTGCCTGCCTTCTTCATGGGAATGGCGTTAGACGGCCGCTGCCCAAACTTGATATTCTTGCCCAACTGTCGCTGGGGAGAAACAAGGGAAGACATTCTGAAACAGCCCAGCAGTCTCCACAGCCATGCCCAGCTTCCCCGGGGACGGCTGTACCCAGCTGCCTTCCAGAGGCCCTGCCATGCCAAGGGACCTCGATGCAGTCTTGCAGTGAGTCCACTTGTCAGCGTCTTCCGAGCCATGAGCTTTTAAAACTCCAGCCACCGCTTGGATGGAAATGGTAACAGCTTCCGGTAGGTTCAGGGACCATGTTTCTAAACTAAGGCTGGAAATACATGTTCTTAATTTTTTTTTTCTGACTTATCTACATAAAGTCTTTAATGTATGAGGGAATTATACAGAAATGTAGGAGCCACGGGGAGACATGGAGACTCCTGGGGTGGGTACAACACGAACTGCCTAGTCCCTTCTGGCTACATTCCCTGTGGATCTTTATACATCTTCACCCAGCGTGTGATTCCCCATGTCACAACCAAAGACTCTGTCACAGGGGGCCACAGGCAGAGCTGAAGAAGGCCCCAGGGCCAGCAAGACTTTCCTTGATGAGTGCTGAAGTCAAACCAGCGATGAGAATGATGCAGTTTTCTTTCTTTGCTGCAATTACTTGTCATGAAATAGGGGCCACAGGGAACCTGGGGTAGGGGTGGGGAGGGAAGGGTTAGAGGACGACTGAGGTCTAGCAGGTGGCAGCCAGAGGGCGTCTGAAGGAAAGGGAGAAGCGGGCTGTACACAATAATTTAAACAGTAGATTGGGTGAGGCCAGATTACAAAAGGAAAACTGACTCCAGGTGTTGCCCAGTGTCTCCTGGGGGCAAACTGCCCCCCCCCACTTAGAACCGCTAGCCTAGATCTACTTCCACATATGGCTTAAACATAATATTGATATTTATCTTCAATCTGGTCATAGATAATCCAGCGGAGCTCCCAGTAAGAGATTTAGCAGCCAACTGCTCCAGCCCTGTGCTGACTAGGTTTTCTGAATTTGACGTAAACTAGAGGCACCAGGAGGAGATACCCTCAACTGGAGAACCTTCTCCAGCAGAAGAGCCTGTGAACCTATCTGTGGGGCGTTTTCTTAATTGCTAATTGAGGGAGGAGTGTCCAGCCCACTGTGGGCGGGGCCACCCCTGGGCAGGGGGTTCTGGTAGTGTAAGAAGGGTAGGTGAATGTGAGCCACTCAGCAGCCTTCCTCCATGGTCTTCAGTTTTTGCCTTGAGTTGCTACCCGGGGCTCCCTTCAATGCTGGACTGGAACCCGTGTTGATGAAACAAACCCTTTTCTCCCCAAGTTGACTTTGGTCAATGTTTTATCCCAGTAACAGGAAACCAAACTAAGACAAACCAGTTTCTTTGCCAAACAAAAGTCCAGGTTCCTGCAGGGAGAGGTGACTAGCCCACACTCACGGAAAGGTTGAGTGGACCCAAAGGAATCTGCGCCTGGGTCTTTAAAAATGACATCCAGAGTTATGGCCATTGTACTTCACACCAGCGCTCATAAAATTGTCTCTCAGGGACAGTTACATATTTAATATTTCTCTAAAGATCCTTGGCGGAAGAATCCCTTGAGGGAACTGTCCCCTCTCCCTTAGAACTCAGCGGGACCAAGTCCACCCACCTTCCCCCAGCTCGTCCCCCACCCCAGCCTTGCCCAGTGGCAGTGAGACTGCCGATGCATGGCCCCCAAGACTCCCCTCTCTGCGCAGCGCACCCCATCCTCAGCCACCCAGCATGCTAGGCCAGGTGCAAGGGCTTTGCGTTTGGTCTGCTGTGATTTCAGCCTGCACAGGGCTCTTGGCCTCCCAGGAAGGATGCACCCCCAAAGCCCACATTCAGCCAGGGAAGGAGAGCTTCAGCAGCCCCAATAAGGTTTGCAGGTTGCTGAAAAAGGATGGCCTCCGAAAACAAGTCGGGCAGGAAGCGGCAGTTAGTATGTACTCTAAGCAGGTCAAGAAGCAACACATGGACAACAGCTGATGGAGTTAGACAGGAGGACACCACGTCACAGCCACAGACCTTGGGAGGGGGAGGGTGGGGATCTGGGTAGAGGGGCTGCTTCCCGTGGCCTTCCACCCCAACCTTCCTTAGGAGTGTTGGCCATGGCCTGCGATTGTCCTAAATCTCTGTGGTCTGGGGAGACTCCCATTGGCAGGGTCTTTTGCTGCAGGATGAGATGTGGGTAGGGGGAATCTTCCTTTCTCTTCTGAGACAGCATCTTGCTAAGTAGCCTTGGCTGGCGTTGGACTCTCCATCCTCCTGCCTGCACCCCCCGAGAGTGGGAATTACAGGCATTTGCCACTTGGCTACGTTCTCCTTCCATTTCGATTGATGACTAGGAACTGTACATATTTGGGGACTTTGTGAGGTTTCAATACATGTGTATCATACATAATAATCAACCCAGGCCAACTGGCATAACCATCACCTCACACATTTTTCATTTCTTTGTGTTAGGAATGCTCAAAGTTCTCTATTCTAGCCATTTTGAAATACACTATAAATTATAAACCATAGCTACCCTACTGTGCTATAGAACAGTGTAGTCCTCCTAACTGTAACGTGTCCATTGGCCAATGGAGATGAAAGCCATTTCTCATACCTACAATGGAAAGGACACCCATAATGCACTTCCTGGCATGACACTGTATTGTCACTTAATTAGGAGTTTTGCCACCATCACAAGAGGCACAAGCAGGCCACTTTACTTGACCAGGGCTGTATTTTAGAGCACCGTTGTTGGCTCATGCTGATACTTCAGGGACAGGAAAGACTGCGGCAAACGTCACAGCCCAGACAGAAACAAAGTCCAAAGACGAAATGATTGTTGTAGCTACAGGTAGGAAAGGGAGGAGACCACAAGGGGAATCAGCTGATGGGACAGGACAGGGTCAGTAAAGGGCATAGAATCAAGCTGGGAAATGTGCAGAAGAACGTCAAGACAGGAAGGGGACAAGGAGGACGGTGGCAGTGACAGGAATTGCGGAGAAAAGAAGAAAAGGACGGGCCCAGGTCGGTGGTTACAACAGCCGGGCACCAGCAGGACACAGCAGGGGCAGAGGACAGAGGGGAGCAGAGTATGCGATCATGCCAAAGGGTTGATTTATGTCACAGACATGTTCATCCTGACAAAGCAGATAATGCTATTGCTATTGACAATTAAAGTGTGTTCCTTAGTACAGAGGCCAATTTGAAATTTCCTAGAGAAAAGAGACTCACACTAGTGGCTGGGGAGCTGAGGGACAGGAATTTAGAGGCAGGAAGGGGAATGGCGATGGTTGTTGGGAATAGGGCTGGTCTTGTGCAGATGAAGGAGTGTCCCGTGGCTTTTAGACAAGAGCTGGTGGGCCAAGGCAGGACTCGAAGCTCTGGTGTTTAAGGACCAGCCTCTGACACCCTGACACACCCCCTTCTCCACAGGTCCCTTTTCCAAACCGTTATGTGACTCAGAGGAGACTGGACTGCTGTGACATTTTATAAGATGTCTGGTAATGTGAGGTGCCACACGAACTGTGTGTGAATAAGTCCTTTTTATTGCTTTCCCTTGCTCACCAGTCAGGCATTGTCATGAGAGGACCCACAACAGAAGCGAGCAATTGCTGGAAATTAGGCTGTTATAAGCTGGCCCCAAAGTTTATCTCCCCCACAAGCTCTGCCGTTGCACGTGTCAGTTATAGCCGGAGAGGAACGGGGAAATCGGTCCATATACTGACGGCGTGTGTTGCTGGTGGCTATGAATGGAGCTACTGTTGCGACTGGAATGTGAGCTAAGAGGAACTATATTTTATTCATCCAGTTTGGGCTGTTTTGTTGTAATATGGAATGCTTGGGAAGGATGCTACGGAATGCACATGCATATTTATTATGAGGCTGGACGCTGCATTGTGGAAATGCTAAGCACGTTGTATTCTGCAGCTTTTTGCACTGCCTGTATCTAGAATTTCCCAATTTTTTTTCCTGCAACCACTCTTTTTTTCAAACCACATCTGTAAGAGCAAACAGCAAAGGGGGAAAAAAAGGTGCTGTATTCTTGAGCAGACTGCAGATACTCCCATCACAAAAAAGTGAATTCTTTTAAAAGAAAAAAAAGCGCAGGGATTTAGACAACTGTCTAGGATTTTGGAATTCGCAAGTGAAATCCAGTTCAGTAGGAGATATTAGCTACAAAGGATCGAGTCCCACCCCTACCCCTACTACACCTATGGCCCAATAATCTGTGGACAAATAACCTAGACGTTTCCCAACAAAAGTGTGGTACAGTTCTAGAAATCGCCTGCAGGCATAGACGGGCTCCCTCCTAATTTCATACTTCACAGCTGCGTCTGACCGTAACTGGAGAGGCGCCCTCCTGATCTGAGCTTCGGGGGGAGGCTATAAGTAATGTCAAGGTCATTGCAGCACAAGTACTACCAAGCCACCATGTGCAGCAGTGAGCAGTAGCTCCACACAGGCTCCAGACTTGAAGCCCGGGAGGACCCTTTCGGTTTACCCATCACATGCACCCCCTTATTGCTCAAATGGGGAAAATGAATCACAGAGATTAAATAACTGCTTGGCCCAAGGTCACACGACCACAGAGTGGCAGAGGCCTGACACCACATACTTTTCATTGCTCTGTGTTCTGTCACTCAAGTGGCATTCATCCTACTGGCTGTCGAGCGAATGACTTATGTAGCGAGCCTTCAAAAGGGACACTATTGTTTTAATCCCTGTAACTGTTTATTAAAATTTGCTTTCACAGTGAACATTTTTATGCTCAGAAAAATGTGCTCTTGTTCTTTTAAAAAGCTCAATAGTTTGCCACGGGAATTTTGCCATGATATAGCTATTTAAGACAGGGAAGGGCAACTGTGTTGTACTCTATGGCAGTCCTAGGTGCTATGACACAAGTGGCCACTAGGGGACAACCTCCCCAAATACAAACGCCTTTCCACCCGTGTTCATGAGTTCTAAGTGAATGCTGGACGGTTTCCTAACCATTTTCTTTCTTGGTTAAATGACAGTCTAGAGAAAATTCATTAGAGAAGAATATTTAAATAGCTGTAGCTAGTCATCTAGCCATGACATTCACTGTCAAATAGGTGCTATCCATTTCTTTTCTCAAAAATAGAACAAACAAACAAAAATAACAGATGTGTACACAGTGACAATTCCAGACATAAAACACACATGCCTCGGACACAGCTGAACCCTCTCATCCCATGCTGGAGTCTACGCAGCGGCGGGCGGTCTTGTATGCTTCTTACTGAGCATCAGCAGCCGCATAACATAACATTGTCGTGGGAAAATGCAAAGCACTCATGCAAGTGTATGAGGTCACTAGATTTGGGGGACTTACCAGGAACATACTGCTTAGTCGACTGAAAAATAAAGCATAGTCTTTTGGGAGTGATTCAGTTAAACCTTAGGTCACTTCAAAAAAAAAAAATCCCCCTTGCTCTGACCATGGTTCCCATTTCCCACCTTGAAGAGCAAAGCCTCTGATATCGCCCAAAGTCATCGCTGTAGGGATCAAAGGAAGATTCCGAGTCCAGTAGCAGAAGCAAAATTCAGCAGACCTCGCATGACAGAATGCTGACCCAGAGAGACCACTCACACTGACAAATGTTCATTTTGCTCGGCTCACACCCCCACCCCCACCGCACTGTGTAAATCGTATTGTCACTTCAGGGAAGTTGATGGCTTCACGTTTTAAGATTATTTAAAACCATACCTTATATATTATGAGTTTCTATTTTTTTTCCAGTACTGCACAATTACAGACACTTTACACCCTTACACCCACTTTGTAAAGTGGGAGTGGTGTTTGTTAGATGCGACAGAGCAGATCCGGTTGAGGGCCCCGCAGGCCATTATCTGCCTTTCAAAGAATCTCTAAGCTCCTGCAAAATGCAGCTGTCTCATGGAGTGCTTTACTCTTAGTAAAGGGGGCTCAGAACTGGCAGAGGGAAGTGGATCGAAGTTCTCCCAGGCTATTCAGGTCCTCCCTCTTCAACCTGTGAAAGGTGAAGCTTGCTTAGTCGGGGTCCAGAGCGCAGCCAGCAGGAACAAAGAGAGGAGTCTCACTGGGAAGTGCTGGGATTTGCAAACCAGGCTGGGCAGGCTGTCTGGGCTGTATGTGGCCTTGGCCAGTGGTGGCTGTAGGCATAAGAACCTAGGCAAGCTTGGGTGTGGTCCCAGGGTGTTGGCTACTTCCTGGTTTATCATATATCACCTTCCACTGACAGTATGAACACGGGTCATAAAATATACAGCCTGTGCTCAGTAGAAGCAAGACCATGTGAAAAGAACAGGAACGTTACCTTTGAGCAGAAACAAGACCATGTGAGAAGAACAGGAACGTTATCTTTGAGAACAGCGCTTCTTTGTACCAGTCATTTCAGGCCATTACTGGTTTTTTCCTTGACTTTTTTTCTTTTTGGTTTTTGGAGACAGGGTTTCTCTATGTTGCTCTGCCTGTCCCGGAACTAGCTCCTTAGATCACCAGGCTGACTTCGAACCACTGAGTTCTCTGTCTCTGCCTCCTGAGTGCTAGGATCAAAGGCATGCACCACCACGCCCAGCTCTCCTGGCTCATTTTCTTATCATTCATTCACTGCTGTAGACTTACAGTCAGATGGGACTCAGCGACTCGGAGCTCTCTGTTCAAAGTCTAGAAACTCCCCAAGCACTCCCCTCTCCGAGAAGTGCTTGCCTTGGCATTGCTTCCTGGTGAGGGAAAAGCTTCCAAGCAATGGGCCGGCCCTACATAATGAGACTCCATAGTCACTGCGCCTTTTACTTTTCCTGGGCACACTGTTTTAACCGCATTTAATATAGTACTGTTTTATACTACTTTCTCATTGTGAGGGAGTCACCAGCTGAGTCAACATTAGGTAAGAACACTGCCCCCACTGCAGGGTGATAGGGAGTTGGCAAGGTTCTTTCTAAGACGGGTGGCTCGAAGCCGCATTTACAGGCACAGTAGTCTAGGCCCACCCCATCCATCTCATGCTGGAAACTCACACGATGGATGGGAGGTGCCCATTGCAGACTCTGTTGACGGCAGTTCAGGTAACTTAACAGTTAGGAGCCCTTTCCCCACAAGCAAGCCTGGTGGTTTGTCTTAGGTACTTGCTCTCATGTGCAGTCAAACAGGAAGTCAACAATTGGAGAGGGGAGGTAAGAAGACAAGGGGTGGGGGTACAGCAGTGTTACGTATGCCTCTCACAGGGGAACTGAGAACTCAAAGCTTCTCCCCTGGACCCCACCCCCACTCCATCACTCAAGGACCAACCAGGGACTTCTCCACTTCCCTCCACAGAGGATGGACGTGGGGATCCTCTGGCTCTCAGCGGCCAGTTGTCTCAAGCTGTCTTACCTGAAGAGTTTTGACTTTGCCCAGGATGTTGTCCTGTGACATTGCTTGAACTGTCTGCTCATTTTCTGCTCCCCCATCAGGGATAAAAATACTGTCATGGGAGAACGCCCGGGCTCCCATAGAATAGTTGAAGGACCTGGAATGCAAACCACGTGCTTCATTTTATTAGGATGATAAATGTTTTCTCCAGATTCAGTTTTCTTATCTTATTCAGAAAGTCCTTCAACACCACGGCCTTCCTGCAGAGGACCAGACAGGGAGCAGGGGAGATGATAGGGACCCATGGGAATGGGGAATGTGGCCTCTCAGGGTGACAGCTTCGAGAGAGGTATTCATTTGTAGAGCCAATGGCCCTGCTCAATTTTTAACCAGAGGACCTGCCTGGATAAGCTGTCCCTGTGAGGTTTGTTCTGGAAAACCTTGCCAACTAGTACTGATAAAGTAACACACAGCTCTACAAGAGGTAAGGGTTTCCTTCACATTCAGTCAGACTGTGGTGCTGACAAAGAGCAAGGCTTTGGAAGAAGGGACTATCAATGCTTGAAGAATACAACCAAGGCGAGACATCCACATTGGAGCCATTTTGATGCATTTTTGAATACAGAACATGATGTAGATTCATAGTTTGTAGCAAACTGCTTTGGTTCAGCTGTGGTTTGATTCAAGGCTCCAAGTGTTGGAAGCTTGGTCCCCAGTGCAGTAATGTTAGGGAGCAATAAAACCTTTAAGGGGGAGGTTACCGTGGGAATCACCCTCAGAAGGAATTGATGCAGTTCTCCTGAATGAGTAAGAGGAGTAGGCCCAGCCATTCCCCATATGCTGGTGACTCTGTCCAGATGACACATAATGTAAGAAATAACCACTTCTGGCTATATCTATCCTGCTGTGATGCAATCCACATTGACATAACGTAACCAGGGGACCATGACCAGAGTTGGCACCATGCTGTTCGGAGTTTCAGCCTTCCAAACTGAGCCAAACAAGCTCCTTTCTTTCTTTCTTTCTTTCTTTCTTTCTTTCTTTCTTTCTTTCTTTCTTTCTTTCTTTCTTCCTTCCTTCCTTCCTTCCTTCCTTCCTTTCTTTCTTTCTTTCTTTCTTTCCCAAGACAGGCTTTCTCTGTGGCTTTGGAGGCTGTCCTGGAACTAGCTCTTGTAGACCTGGCTGGTCTTGAACTCACAGAGATCCGCCTGCCTCTGCCTCCCGAGTGCTGGGATCAACGGTGTGCGCCACCACTGCCCGGCTCAGACAAATTTTTCTATATGTACTCTGGTATTCTGTTATAGTAATGGACCACGATGTAATTCAGTCAGGAGAGGGCTCAGAATGCATGAAGCCCCAGACTTACTCTCTAGCATCAAAGAGAAGAAAGTAGACACTTTCCAGCTGAGGGGTTGCACCTGAAAGATGTCTGAACATTTACCTGATGAGAGGCATGAAGAGCGGGAAACTCAGGAGAAGGAAGCTCCAGGAGATAGCCATTCTTTACTCGGGCAGACACGGCAGCAAGGAGACACAGGCAGGTCTCAAGGCCAAGGGAGCATCACTGGTCCTCCCTCCCAAGAGAGGAGCCTTAATGGGAGGCTTCCCTGAGACCAAGCGCAGGAAAGCCTAGGGCCGAGGCACCGGCTGCTGGTTCCTCCACATTGGACCGCAGCTGGGCTGTTCATCTACCCGTGTCTAGATGCATCTGGGAAGACTGATTCAATTATGGCACCAAATTGCAGGAAGCATGTTAGAGAACATCTGAGGTTTGGGACCAAAAGATTTGGGTGAGAGCCTGTGTGACCTTAGGTGTGAACAAGCAGCTGTGCAACCTCCAGTGGGATGAAGCCTCACCGGAGGGTGTAAATTTCTTTATCTTATTTAGTCCTTGCCACTCTTATCTTATTAGAGATGGTGCCCGGGGCGGGGGAAGGGGAGTAAGTACCACATCTAAAGTCATCCAACTTGAAGCAGTGCAACCCCATGCCAGCTAGATGACGTATCTTGGAGTATGGTCACCCAAGAAGGACAGAGAGTATGGGAAAGAGGAGGCACGTGCCAGGAAGGCCAGTGTGACAAAAGGCTGCAGATAGGAAGTAACTTGAACAATGACTCCCAGTTCAGGAGAATCGCAGGCCTCTATCGGGCAGCAGCTTGATTTGTGAACGACAATGCATCCTTGTTTTTGGAAGTATGAAAGGAAATGAAATCTATCACCATCTCCCAATCCTGAGAAATGGTGCTGTTATCCACATAGGTTAAAAAAATGAACTTCCAGTTTCATCCAATGACATCATGAAAAATGTTTTCAACCCATGGGTTTTAACCTTTCCACATTTTCTGTCTTAAATTCGGACTTCTGGCTACAATTCAGATACGAGAAGAGTAATTCATTTCTACACAGTCTGTGACAATTTTTGTTTAAACCACTCTTCAGTGTGTATTTGTGCAGACACATGTGTGTGCACATGTATGCAGAGGCCGGAAGTCAGCCTTCGTTGTTTCTCAGAAGCCATCCACCTGTTTTTTAGGGACAGGGTCTCTCACTGGGACCATTGCCCATTAGGTGAGGCTGACTGGATAGCACACTCAGGGATCCTCCTGTCTCCCCCCTGATGACATGACAAGTGTATACCTCTAAGCATTGCTTTTGGCATGGCTGCTGGGTCCCAAACTCAAGTCCTCAGGCACGCATGGCAAGCACTCTCCTGACTGAGCCTCTCCCCGGCCTGTCTACATGGTGCTTTTGCAAACAGTTATGTAGTTACACAGGCTGTCAAACATTCCTGCAGATGTGTATGTGCCCCCACACAATTCCATGTTTGATGCTTAGTAAATGTCCACTAATTTCTTACAGTTGTGTGTGCAGAACATAACAAGGCCAAGCTAAATTCCATCCCAGCTGCCACGTCTGTCTTAACTGAGTCATGGAGTTCTTAGCACATGTGTTCTTGTTATTTTGGGTATGTGGGTTAAGAACTGGCACTTGCTTGCTCTACTGCGTTGACCCCAGGATTGATGTCCAAACATCCCGCCTTTAGATAATTATATTAAAAAACAGATCAAAAGAATAAAAATACTAGTTGTAAAAATTATAACAATTTTAAGAAGTTACAGTGCTAATAGTAATTCTAGTTAAATATAGTCAGACATCATGTGTGTGTGTGTGTGTAGTTAAATACAATAAAACATAGTGTACATGTGTGCATGTGTAGCTAAATATAGTAAGACACCATATGTCGTGTGTGCGCACGAGTGTATATGTGTACCTCTAACACATCTACATCTAACACCTAAACACATAACATCTATAACCTCCTGCTGTAATATTGAAAATCCACATGTAGGAACTGGTTTTAGGCCTGCTTTTCAGATGGGATACTAAAGATCAAAGGCTTGGGATGACAGGGCTAGGTGTGATTCTGCTCCTTTGGTCTGCTTGTCTGCTTTCACAGACAGAAATAAGCCCACACTGGCCAGGTATGGGGACACATGTCAGTAAGCTCACACTGGCTAGGTATGGGGGCACATGTCAGTAAGCTCACACTAGCCAGGTATGGGGTCACATGTCAGTAAGCCCACACTGGCCAGGTATGGGGGCACATGTCAGTAAGCTCACACTGGCCAGGTATGGGGTCACATGTCAGTAAGCTCACACTGGCCAGGTATGGGGGCACACGTCAGTAAGCTCACACTGGCCAGGTATGGGGTCACATGTCAGTAAGCCCACACTGGCCAGGTATGGGGGCACACGTCAGTAAGCCCACACTGGCCAGGTATGGGGGCACACGTCAGTAAGCCCAAAACTAAGGAGACAGGGGAAGAAGGACTGCCATAGTTATGAACTGCCTCAAAAACACAACAAGAAACACAAAACTCCACAACAATCAAACAAAACAGAAGTAAGCCCATGCCCATTCTGTCTTGTTTCCTAAGTTTTAAAATCTAATTTGTTTTTCAGCTGTTGTTTTTCCAAGATGGCTATCCTATCTCTTTGCACTTCTACATAAATTCCATCCTATCTCCCCTATTCTCTTCCTCACCCTTCTCTTGCCTGTCTGTCTGTCTGTCTGTCTGTCTGTCTACCTGCCTGTCTTCTATGTTCCTGCAATTACTTTCACAAGGGGGTTAGATCCACAGATATATCTAGGGCTGATGTCTTTTCAATACTTTATCTGTTAATCTGGAACATGGGATGTCTATGTGTTAAGATCATCTTTTGTTTCAATAATGTTTTAGTACTTTTTTGAGTAGAGGTCCTGAACATACCCTGATAGATCTATTCCTAAATATGGTGGGTCTGATTTTTTCATAAATGGCATAAAAAATCTTTATTTTCTGTTTTCTCACTGGTGGAATATAAGATTGTGTGTGTGTGTGTGTGTGTGTGTGTGTGTGTGTGTTTAAATACTGGCCTTATAAGCAGAGACTTTGTTAGGGTTGTTTAGTAACTATAACAATATAATCGCTGAGTCTTTGTATTTCCTATCCAAAATACAGTTAGGTTCTCTACCACAGAACGTCATTTTTACCTCAAGCTTTTCTTACCTCCTTGCGTTTCCCCTTCCGGACTGAGTCAGCTAAGTTCTCCTGTTGACAAAAGTCAGTAGAAGTGGTGACGGAGATCTTGTGATGCTCCAAACCCACGGAGAAAACACTTCACTATTTTAAAATGTCTGGTATTGGCCAGAATTCTGATGGATATGCTTACTTGGCTGTTTTTTTTTTTTAAATACATCATCTGACTTTTCATTTCAGAAGATTAAAATTTTGTGTCTCATTTGCTTTTTGGCAATTTTACTCTGGCATGGGCAGGTGTGGACTTTTCTCCGGTTTGGAGTATTGACTGCAGTGCTTCTTAAGTCTGCGGCTGGATGCCGTTCGTCACCTCTCGGCCCTGCTTTCTCCTGTTGTCTCTGGACATTTGCCCTCTCATACCTCTTCAAGGGGACAACACGAACCACTTGTCGTTGGTTCTCTTTTCGGTATCTATCATTCTTTCCACACTAATCCATGTCTGCTGTGACTTGACCCAGACCTTACTGATGAGCTCTGCTGGAGCCCACACTCCCTGACGTTGTCTGATATGCTAGGAAAGCAATTTGTTGAAGTTCTTAACTTTGGAATTATTTTTATCTCAAATCAACATTTATT